TTAATAGGCAGATCAATGATTAAACTTTTTACATGAATTTCCATCGACTAGAAAATATTATTTATTTGTATTAACGTTTCGTATTAGCATTTTTATTTTAAGTAATAATTAAACGTTACTCTTTAAAGGAAATCGGTTATAAAAAGGAAATATTTACAGTGTGTCACGCGATATACAATTCACTTTGCATTAAATTCTTGTTTCTGGAACACGTTTTCGCCCACGTTTCAGTTGGCACAGAATTACTTTTTGTTAACACAGATTATTTTACGTAATATCAGAAATTCATTGAAGAAGAAGCTACACGTACGTGTTCGTTAGTTAAGAGTACTCTTAATTTGACCTATCTTGAATATATCTCCAATTCGGCCAAGAAACTATCTGCTATGGCTTCCATGGACTCTGCCAATCACTTCTGCAATATATATATATATATATATTTGCTATTTTATTTTTATAGGATAAGGGTGACAAACGAGCACACAGTCCGCCTGATGGTAAGTGGTTGCTGCGGCCTATAGACATCTACATCTATCCTCCATTACAAATCAAAATGCAGATGCGTTGTCAGCCGTGAGTACTAAGATGGAATGCCTCATTACCAGTAAAAAGGGTCTCCGGTTCTCTTTACTGGAAATGAGGCACCATACGAAACACAGCAGCGTTAAGCTGCTATTTTACGCTGGTATTCTGTAAGAGCGTGGTCCTTCCCCGGTCGAGCCGACCCTTTCCTGCTATAACTATACTACCACTTAACCTGTTATGTCATTCTTTCTTCATTAATTCTATTTATTTATTTATGGTTTATTTGCACACCAAGTAAAAAACGGCGGACTTAATGCAACAGGGCATTCTCTACCAGTCTACCTCCAGGCTAAGCAGAGAAAATATTGTGGGTGCACATAATACATGGGTCTACATAATATATATATATATATATATATATATATATATATATATATATATATATATATATACATAACTAAATATAGCAGTTTCTGATTCAAACTCCATTAACAAATGTAAAAATGAAATGGAAAACCACAAACTACTCCTGCAACGTTAGATAGTAATTACAGAGCAAGCGTTTGAACGATGCCTTGCTCATGGCTACGCGTTCACTGCCCGGTAACTCGTTCCATAATCTTACCGCATGAGGAGTAAAAGATTTGTGTAAAAAGCTAGTGTGACAGAGGGGAACATGGAGGTTAGATTTTTCCGTAGAACGGCGACAACGATTATGGGTATCACCTTGATACTGAAATATGCATTTCAGATATTCAGGGACAAACGGATCGTGTAAAACTGAAAATAACGTGCACAGTATTCTGAAATATCTGCGATAGCGGAGAGGTAGCCATTTTAGCTGAGAAATATAGGAGGAAATGTGGTCGTATTTACGTAAACTGAAAATGAAGCGTATGCAATTATTGTGAAGTCGATCCAGTTTGTTTAGAAGTTCTTGCGAGGCATCAGCATAGCAGCATGCCTCTACCACTTCAATTTTAACCATCGGTATTCACCATAGGCGTATTAGACAATATTCAATATACAATGAAACCTGGATAACTGGAACCTTAAGGGAAATGCAAATTTGGCTCACTTAAAGAGGTATTCCACTTACCCAGTGTCTCAGATATCCAGATATAAATAAATATCTGTCTCAATTGCTGAGGTTTCCATTAATAGAGATGAGAACAGAGGTTATTTCAGTTATAGAGGTGCGATTATTAAATAAAATAACGTATTTTGTAAACATAATACATAAACATCCTGACGACAGCAAAACCAAACTAAAACTGCAGGTCACTTTTACACAATTAGCAAAGTGCGAAATTTGCGGGTAGAATAAGAATTAGTAAACAAAACGGTACACAAAATATAGTCTCAGTAAACGAAGTAAAATACACTCGCTGTCTCAATTATATAGAGGTAATTATGACGATAAAATCGAAATCACTAATCCCATATATACAGGTTTGTTTTGTCCCACTAACAGAGGTAATTCAGTGCTAAAATATCGGGAACTAAACATGAGTTCCAGCTATGGAGGTTTTTCATTTATCCAGGTCCCATTTAACCAAGTTTTACTATATAATGTTTCGAAACAGGATTAGCTTGTTATCCGCCTGCCAAGTACTAAACATAGGCCTCCCCATAATTGGCCTCATAGGGATGATTTTTAGAGCTAGACTTAGTTACAATTTCAGAGAAATGGCAACATAGAAGATCAAGAACCCAATAAGCCTTTGTTGACTATGATTTAAGCTCAGTACTGGCGATTCTTTAAACAGGTATTATGACCTAGGCAACGAGATTTTCAAAACTACATTACACTTATAGTAAAATAAAATGTTATTTTTCATACACGTTTATATAAACATATCTATATTATCCTATGGTTTTTCCTGTTCGTGTTTATAAATATTTAGGGTAATTTATTATTTACGTTTAAAACGCTTCATGGCTGTAATGCTCGTTAGTCTATATGAGTCTCAAATAATTTTTTTTGGACTTTTATAAAATTATGGCTTTGAGTACAAAAGTCATAAAAATTCAACAAAAAAAAAAAACAACATAAAAAGTCAACAAAACAATTTTTTCCGACTATTCATGATATTCATCAACGTTACGATAGATAACGTTCCAGATAAACAAACTTTGTCACGTATGTAGGATATTCTGCCCGCGGTTCCGACTGCGTGAGTACAAAAACTACTTTCAGGTTGATTTTTTACATAGTAGAGCCATAGTAGTATAGTTGTAGCACGAATCGGTCGGCTCGACCGGGGAAGGACCACGCTCTCACAGAAAACCAGCGTAAAATAGCAGCTTAACGCTGCTGTGTTTCGTATGGTGAGTGTAGAGAACCGGAGACCCCTTTTACTGGCAAAGAGGCAGTCCATCTTAGTCCTCACGGGTGACAACGCATCTGCATCTTGATTCTTTCTTGAGGATAGATGTAGATGTCTATGGGTCTCAGTAAACACTTACCATCAGGTGGACTGTGTGCTCGTTTGTCACCCTATCCTATAAAAAATAATTACCATTTCATTTTTATTGTTTAAAAATGTCTCATAGCGTTTTTAATATTATCAAACTGGACTGATCCGCTTTTCTTCCGATATGACTTTTAATTTTTCCTATTGTTGTATTTTTCTATCGACTTCAAAAAGGAGGAGGTACTCAATTCGACTGTATATTATTTTATTATATGTGTGTTACCTCATAACTTTGTTCTACGTGAACCGATTTCGATGATTCTTTTTTTATTTGAAAGCTGGTGCTTCTCATGTGGTCCCGTATACATTTGATCAAGGTCTGACAAATAGTTTTTGAGTTATCTTTAATTATATATATCGAAGTCGGTCGTACAAAATATTTAATTTTAATTTATTCATGATTTACATCGTAAGGGAATATAAGCTGTTTGTAAATAGATTAAGAAGTAATTAGTTGATGTTTAATTTTTATTTTTTTATTTTAGAGTTAATAAATTGTTTAGATTTCACATTATAGATTGCTTTTAATTCTTTATCTGCATAATTTATAAAATTAAAATCTACTGTGTTTTAGGCTGTTTTGCCAAACAAAATTTTATATGACATAAACTCACGAGATGAAAATTTATAGTTTTCATTTTTTATATTTTTATAAGTATAGGAGTATATATTAAATTTAACTTATACACTGTTATCAAGTACCTAAAATCATTGGTATTCACGAGCCCGTTTAATATTTACTTTTACCAATATAAAATTCGTTATTTGTACCAATATAAATTTAAAAGGCAGTATTGTTACTTATTAACTAAATACATTACACAAATTCACAATATACATTCAACATACCATGCAATGCCATAACGTTGGAACACAAATAAAAACATTGAGGCTACGACATACCCATGAAGCAGGAGGATATCTCGGGAACGGTGCGATCGTCTTCGTAGCAACATTGCTTGGAAGCTCGTGCTTGATGCCTCTCTTGAGACGCTGTTTTCTTCTCTCCCGCGATTTTGCTCTCAGCATAAGAGCTGCCTGCATACTTGCCAGTTTCGTGGCCGTGAGGAAGCGCGCCCAACGAACACAGCTTAGCGCTCTGCTAAGACTTAAACTCTTTCGATCGACAAAATGCACTCAACTTCGGCTTAATATTTACGTTTTTCACACACCGTCTATTCACGATAATGGAGCACAGGCGTATAAATTTAATTCGGAGCTTGTAACTACTTCTAGCGAGACTAGGTAACTATCGAAAGTTAGTTAATTTCGTAAATAGAGTAAGAGAAAAGAATATTGTTCTCACATCAATCGTCAAATTCACTTTTATTAATGTTCCATCACAGCTCTGATTTCTTTATAACGTCACTTTAGAAATATTTATAATTGGATATAGATAGGCACGAGAAAGGCGAGAAAACTTTTGTTTAATTAATTTCTAATTGAACTTTATTACCTAATACGATATGCTTAAAATGTGATAACGTACATGGAAGCAAGCGCAATTTGGCGTTTATCGTCGAACAAGTCAGTTTAAAGTTTTTTTTTAGACAATGTTGTCACTCATGTTTCGTTCCGTACGTCAAGACGCAGTCTCTGACACTTCGACGCCTGCCACCGGACGCTACTCTCCACTAGGTGTCGCTGTTTCATGGCCGGCCCACTTTTCTCACTTTGCGTATCGACACTTCTCCGTAGCACATATTAAAGTCGTCTTAAATGGCAAACGCTATACATACCAACGAAAAATTTAGCAGCGAACTTTCAAACTCAACGCTTCTAAAAGGTGACGTCTTACATTGCATTGTCTTACGTCATACGCATGCTACAAGTACTTGACATCAAATAAAACGGTTACATTATAACTCATACTCAGCTTACAAAAGGCAAACTTATCGTTTAACACACAACAAAATACGCCGTTACATCTAGAGTATACAATGTACATGCTAAGACTATACGTAAAGACACCGAGGCACAACATCACAGGCAGTATACCTCGACGATATCGCATGGTGAGTGTGGCTCGGAGTGTAGGGCGGAGTGCGGAGGTAGCGGGGGCGCGAGAAGGCGTGACTCCCAGTGCTGGCAGGAGAAGGCGCGGACGCCGGTGGGCGCGGGGTGGACGGGACTGCGCGCGCGCGGGCTCAGCGGCGCGGGCTGGCGGCCGTGCTGCCGGGCCTGCGGACCAAACTCACCTTTAGAATTCCCAACAAGTACCAATCAAAGATTAAAAATAAACAAGATTGTCTGTGCTTTCTTTATCGATTTCAACGCAATTTCCGAATATAGTCGGCAGATTCAACTGCGCATGTTATGGTGCGCAAGCGCGGAGGTATTCTCTATTTTCTAGGGCGTCGACAGGAGGTCACTCAGCTATATTTAAGCTCTTTTTTAGCAATTTATAAAATTCTACTGCCGAACATGTTACGTGATTTTGTCATAGTTCCCACGTTTGGCAGGCGGTTTGACAATCACATTTTTTATTTTGAGTTGTTATGATCAGAAAGATGCCCATCTACTGTTTTATTTCCCTATGTCGTCTCTCACGACACCCACGGTACGATATGGGTAAGTGGATATTCCCACACTGTCGCTACACGGTTGTTCTACCAATTATCGGCACTGTATGGATTTGTACAAAACCCCGTAAGTCTTAACCATATTAAGGCTATTGAAACAATGTTTGATAATTTTATTTAAATGGTATAGGTTCCCAACGTCTGGTACTGTGACCGTTAAGCCGCCTGCCAAGCGTGATGATTAAGACAAATCCACACTACAATGGGAGTAGGCCGATCAGCATCAGCAGTGGACTTTTATGGATGGAAGAAGAACAGGAAGAAGAATTTGGGATATAGTATTATAATTATCTCACGATGTCGGGTTAGTCTTACTCGTAGCATAGGCACGTAACACATGCAAATTGTTTGATTATGCGTAAGCTCGATAGCCAACACCCATACCATCAGAACAGAAAACAAAGGGAAAAATGTTCTAGTAATGTAAGATAAAATTTATGTGACCGTTTCTAAGCAGCTAAAAAGTAACGTAGTAAAACTCACCCGCCTTCGTGAGATAAAACATCTATACCTACATGTGTTAGAATTAGATACATATAAGTGTGTCTCACCTTACGGCCCGCGAGCGACGCGCCGCCCGCCGCCGCGTACATGCACCGCGGACGCGCACGCTCACCTTCCGCGGCGCGCCGTCATCGTCTAGGGGGCGCTAGCGGGGAGCAAGCCACGCGCCGCCGGCCCGCTCCGCCGCATCAATGCCCTGACTCACGTACACCTACAACACCACGCTTCGCTATAACTAATAACACTTGTATTGATCACTCTAGACACTTCATTTTTGTGCATTTTTCTCTTTTTTTTTTAAATATTCCTTATTCAATTATTTAACACTGGACAACCACTCTGTTTAAGCGTAGATATTACGCAGAACGTTTTTAACACTTTTTATTTTTTTGATGCTTGTTAATAACATCACTGAAAATACTGCTGCGTTCGATGTTTACATAGTACTTTAGTAAATTTCTTACATTTAATAAAAATATAAAAATAATTACATAGACGCATTTTTTTTTGTAAAAAGTAACACATATTTACATTCACACATACTTTAAAATAACATTAGTTCATAACAAATAGTAACATTATTTTTAGGCTTAATATCACTTATAATTACACAAGTTAAAAGAATAATTTTATTTTTGAAAGTAATTTAATAAAACATTTAAGTAGTTTTTAATAAAAAATTAAAATCACAATTTATATATTAATTCTACTCATTTGTATTTTATTCAATTTTATTACAATGTCCAGAATATTTCATGAAAATTACTGAAAAATATTGAGAGCTACGAGAGCCATTGCTGTTAAAATCGTTTTCACTTAATTGCTCTTGATGTCAGGTATGTGCTCTTACGATAAGCTCGAATACCAGAACACCACAAAAGCGAGAATGCACATGCACCATTAAATACAGAACGCTTGAATTGAAATATCTTTTATTTTGCAACAATAAATAATACCTTTTAACTTAATTAAAACATTTTATGGTATCCTGGTACATTGAACTCTTAGTAGACGCCATTTTCAAAGTAACTGTACATTATTAATTAAATATCTAAAAACTAAAATTATCAACAATAAAAAAATATCAACCCTATCGTCACTAGTAGTAAAAATTCTCCCACACTTAAATCACGAATCTATTATCTCTACAGCAAATGAGACAAAAATATACTATCCTAGACATGTTTTGTGACTTTACGTATTTCTATTATATCCTATGTTTCATACTCGTATCACCCCTACTGTGATAGAGATATTCATAGGGTAAGAGGTGACCTTAATACCTACGCCCGCAATATAATAACACCTTTGTTCTTATGGATCAAAGTCATTGCCAACCTTCCTAAAAGATACGCAAGAATTCAAAAGTGAAGTGCTATTTATTGAGTCTAGAGCTTTCCAGATAAGAACTTTTAGAGAATCTTTTGAGAACAACCAACCTTGCAAAAAGTGCTTTTTGTAAGGACCATGACAGACTGAAGATCGCCCTTCACGGAACTTCTATCACAAATACACGTACATTTTACTTTTATATTTATAAAGTCATTGTATTCGCGAAGGAAACGAAGTTTAGATGTGTAAGCACAATCATTGATTTTTTTAATTTTTTATTAGCACAAACATTACCTGAAGCTTACCACGAATACATATTTAATTTTAGCCTTACATGCATGACTGTTCCTCATTATGAGCTCACTGCACTATCATTAATTAATAATTATACAGGATCAATATTTATTCTACAAACCACTAATGTTGTAGGTAATATTTGTAGGTACTTGACATTATAAAATCAGGACATAATCACATTTATTAAATTACATTAATGATGGTAATTTATTTCTTATGCATAAAAGTAATAGCTTACATATACATATCACATTACTGGGCATATATCTCTTCCTTATAGAGTTTTTTAGTATTAAGCACATGCCTCCCCCCTATAGTATTCTTGTAGCAGGGAAAAGTCCGCTACGCTACCTCAGTACGTTTTGGTGGCATTCACGTATCGAAATTTTCGTGAAATATCTTTAATTCCTCGGATGAAGGCATTCCCGCGACGGTTTCTTTCACAACCTTGCAAAAACTAGTATTAATGACGGCGGGGATCACACTCGAATTGCTCGAGGACTATGAAATATCGTCGATGTTGCCGCACTGGAATCAGACTCTATAACGAGCGTTTTTGTCACCGACAATTAAATCGGCTTAAATCATTAGACGTACATATAAAATCATACAGCATGGAATGTTTAAGGTCAACACTTATGATTTCTTGAGCTACCGAGGCACTTCAGAGTTATAGTGTAAAATTATAGTATAAAACATTGTAACAGTTATTTGGCATCTAATTTTAATTTTAATTATTATTATATAAATTTTAATTTCAATTTTAATTGAGTTATTTTTAGTATTACTAAATAAAGAGTCTTTGAAAAAATATAAAAAGAAAATATAAGAAGAATTTTACATAATATGGCAAACAGTTTAAACTTGTACATGAAAGTAATTAATATTAATTTAACATAATTAATATTTAAAATATTATTTTGAAGACGAAACGAAATTTTTTTTACCATGGAAAAATACATCTTAACTTTAAATTGAAGCTTTCGTGACGAGCAATAATTAAGCATTTGTTTAAGCGAGGATAAGATAAATTTAATTAAAATCCCACTTTAGAATTTTAGAATCTATTTGTTTAGAATCTACAATCTTAAAATAAAACTTTTTATATAAAGAAAAAACCGACTTTATTTAAATAAAACTAAATTTTACTAAACAGCTTCGGAAGTTGGTGCTACGATCTACTGTATAGAATAATTAAATTTATCAGTTTTATTAAAGCGATCGCTTTTTCTCCTCGAAAAAGTATCAAGGCAATTAAATAAACTAAAACAGAAATCAAAATCCTTCCAAATTGGGAGATGTTTTCTTCCGGCAGCAGACTGTTACTGGCTGTCGATAATAAGCTTTCGGCTGTGAATTCAATTATTTATCTTTATAACAGTTATAACATTTTAGAATTATTACACACAATAATTAAGTAGTTACAAGCGTAAATGGCAATACAGTGAAGTAAACCATTTTTTACTTACTCCACCATTATTAACCTTTAGCAGCCTATTAATGTACAAATATGTTGAGACAAAATGAACAGTTATAATTTCACTACTTCAGGGTTAATAACGCTCCACTTACATTTATGTGTATGGTCGCCGGGATATGTTCGTTCTGTGCGTTATAGATGTACAGAATTTCTAGATTTTAAAACTATATTAAAGCACCTAGTGCTAATTAAATCAAAGTTTCAAATCTTGATATCTCAAAAGCGTTATAACTTTAATGGAATAAATGATCAAAACCGTTCCACAGAGCTTGTTGAAGCGACCTACGCTAATCTAAATTCATACTGTTATAACGTAAAGTGTTTGCCAACTTGTGTGTACAATGCCTACTAGAATTATGAAACGGATTTTCTATGACGGATTCTGTTGTGTGTTTTAGTGTCAAGTGAAAGTTTTCAGTTTGTTTGAGGATAAGTTACACAGTTCTCATAAGGCAACACTTACTTACTTGGTAAAGTAAAATCTACTTTTTATATCAGTGCTTAGTGTACAAGATATAAAATTAAGCCTCTGCGTTTATTAGACATAAATAAAGATTATATATACTACTTACTATATTATCTTGCCTTATTTTAATAAAATATATTATATTGCGATTATTGTAGCATCTTTCGCACATAACTCTAGAGTAAGAAGTGAAGTGAAGAGCGAGACAGGATATAATAATAATTAAATCATTATTAAATTTATTAAACTTTCGTTTACTCAATTTAATAGTGATGTAATAACTTTCTCCAGACAAAACTTCGGCCTGTCTCAAAGAGTGACTGAGACACTGGAGACTAGCCATCTGCACGGCACAGAATTATAGTACTAGAGTGTGTGCACAAGGACATGTGCACAAGCACATGTGCACTCTCTATTCCCTCACTCTCTTAGTCCGATGGGGCGGCAATACGAAACGACCTGTGAAAGATCTAACAGCCACGTGCTTTTGGAGGTGTGGGGTTCAAACTACCTTGACAGAAAGTGAAAATGTCTTTGACAAAAAAAAACCCAATAACTGATTTTGGCCAGATTAGATATTTTTCTCTGGACTGGGGCCTCATGAATGATTAATATTAACACAAAACAGAATACGAAAGATAGTAGAGTTAAGCATTGAACGCAATAACTTTTGTTTATACATAAGTGTGATTCTTAACAGTGGTAGAGTCACGCGGCAGCTTTAGCTGTCGCACGGATGGGCCGGTTCGAACCGGGGTGGTACCACGACCTCACAGAAAACCAGCGTGAAGTAGAGGTTTACCTCTTCGTTTCGCTTGGTGAGTGCAGGTGGCCGGAGGCCCTTTGTCCTCGCGGGTGACAACGCATCTACATTTTGATTTGTAATAGAGGATAGATGTAGATGTCTATGGGCCGCAGCAACCACTTACCATCAGGTGGACTGTGTGCTCGTTTGTCACCCTTATCCTATAAAAAAAAAGTACGTAATTCGACTGTAATTTGGAACTTGAACAAAAGAGCGCAGGTGCGTGATATATTACAAGTCTACGTTCTTTAGACTTTTTCTAAGCTATGTAACTTTTGATATTCATCATACATAGAAAATATATAAATGTAAAATTGTGTCTATCAGGGATAATTTTCAGATGTCATATTTAAATATTTTTTATCATTCTGTATTCGCTACATTTAATCTCTGGGCATGAATTTATCTGATTAGTTGACAAATTTCAAAAGATTCAAATAATCAAAATCGTATCTCAAGATCTTGCAAACATTACGTTATTGTTTGAAGAACAATAATTGGTAAATTAATAAGACAGAGTAGATCTCACCTTTAACTATTTATCCTACAAAACGCGAGATGGCATACTCAGTTTTGCATTCCAATAGAATGGTATGAATACTATAAAAATACAGACTATGACGAATTTCTTTTCCTTGTGGTGACAGCGCATTTCTAAGCTTTTTGTTTGCAGATGAAACTTTTCATAGTAAGACGTTTCATTTGTTAC